AGCTCTATCCATAGGAGCTATTCATACCATATGATATTTCTTTTTCGGGTGCTGTTCATGTTAATATTGCGTATGTTGTGCATAATGCACTTTTAATAAATTACGTCGTTACATGTCGTTACGCTGTAGATTGCACTATGTTTTTATTATTTTATTGTTTATATTCATCGTCAGGGAGGTTGGATTAAATTAGTCACATATTCACAAAGCGAAAAAAAAAATTCATGAACGTGTGCTAATAACTCTGTTATCCTAAAGAAAAAAAGTGGGAGAATCGTCTGTTCTCCTACTCAAATGGAAGGAAAATGCCACTAAATCATCGCGGATGATGAAAGATGAACATGTTCAAACATTTGAAATGCAAACAGCCACGAGGTGATGCAGTGTACTGAAGCTGAATTTCATGTCTTGGGAGTGACAGAGGCTTCTATGGAAGTAACTAAATGACACGCATTCAGCCATACTTGATATAAATACGGTGCTCTTTGTAGGAGAAACGGTTGCAATACGCGGAAAGGCATTAAAAGTCGATTTTCCAGCAAAACGATTCCCGGGCTCGTTGTGCAAAATTCGTTCAAAGTACATTACCAGCTTTATGCTGAAGTATTTGCTCTCATCCCCACTGTGCCCCACAGCATTCGCCCTATGCCACTCTTTCTGTCTCCCTCCCCCCATGTATGATTGTCTAATTGTCAGCCCAAACAGTGCTTTCATTGCTATGACAAAAAAAAAAAAACGGGTCTTTTCGTGTTTGTTGTATACCATCAAATGATCAGTTACTCTTTCGGCACGGGGCTTATATTCCATTCGAAAAGAGGGGCAATATAATATAATATAAAGCTGTACGTTGAATAAAACGCTTTTTACCATCCTTTGGAAATAAGCGCTTTTTCATGTAAACACGCGAAATTATTAGCATAACCTATATATTTTGATTTAGTGCAAATAACAAAATATATCTCGACGTTTTTACTCTTATGTAGGCCCGTTCAATATTGTCGTTATTGGAAATTCCATTCCAGATTCACAATGCAGAGTTACTCTGCTCGGAGTGGCTAAGAAAGACTGAAATATACTTTCATCGAGAATCCATAATTTTACCATTTTACGATTCGATTTATTCGCACGCCCCTGCCTAAAAAATATTTTTTCGACTGCCTAGCTAATATTGTTCTTAAGTGTTCTTTTAAAATACGATTATGGGTGCTTGGGATCAAAACATTCGCCGCTTAAACCGGTTGTAATTTATCACTTTTATTCAATGCTTCTTCGTCAAAGTTTCCGTCTTTTAAATGTCTTCAAATGAAACCGACACGAGGCCGTATCTAAAATATTAAAAAAAAAAAAAATTGCGGAACGAAAGTTTCGTGCTCTCGATATACACTAATTACCTATTTATCGCTCTTGACAAATGCAAGAATATGTTATTAAATGTCGATTGGAGGTGACGCTATCTCCTTATTTGACCGGTATCAGTAATGACTGGTCGGCCACTAGGTGTAATCAGAGTTGTACCTTTTGGGATAAAGAAAAAGTTTACAACGAAATTTTCAAAACTAATCGCATTCCTAGCGTATGCGTTAATCATTTTTTGTATTTTGTAACTGTTTTCATTTCTTCATTTCATACTCGCAATATATATTTAAACTTTGCACAGGTCACAAGATCCGATGAATTTAATAAAGAACATTTTATACATGTTTGACATACACGCTAGCGGAAGAACACTTATATGCTACGTTTGTCGAAATTTCGCAATGTTATCATGGTATGGATAAAACAAAAACATTTTTAAGAAGAGAAAACTTAGTCAGTTTAAAAAAAAAAAAAAAAAAAAAAAATAAAATATTAAAAATTAAAAAATAGAAACAACGAAGCATTTGTTACTAGTTTTGTTAATATATATAAATAAATCTTGCTTGTTTTTCTTAATAAAAAAATGGCTTTAAAAGTATGAGTTTACAAGAGCTGCTTAGTGCTGTTGTTCTCTCGGTTAAAATGCTAAATATTCACAGAGAAATACTTTGATAACAATAGTGATTTTTAACCGAAAAAATCCAAAGGAGAGATAGTTTTAATTTCTACCTTAAACTCTATTCAATACGCAACGCCGTCAATAGTTGTTCGTTTAACTTAACGTTGTTTAAATAATTCTTAGCTAAGGATATAATCAGATGACAGAAGCAGTGTAACTCTCACTTTCGGTCGATATGAAAAAGTGAAACGAAAACTTTTCTTTACTTTCTCATAAAGGCTTTGTTAAAAATTATTAATTAGTTTACTACTATTACAAGTGATGCAACACATAACATAAAGCAATTTGTCACAAGCTCCTGCCAATACCTTTAAACGAGAGTAGAATTGTATTCAGCTTGGACTAAAATTTCTGATACTCCACACCATTGGCTTACAGTGAAAGGCAAAAAGTCATACAAAGGTAAACTGAATATTTATATACGAAAAGGATGTAAAACATCCACCACATAGCCACCACATTGTAGTCTATGCATCTATATATTTATTTACGCCTTTGAATTCGTTGTGAATGCTTAGAAGAAGAAAGCTCCCGGTTTATATATTGTAAGATAATGAAAAATCAAAGTGTTCGATTTTATTCTAATTGGCGAACAAATTTTTGAGGCGACGAAAATGAATACTCGAAAGATTTTATTTCAACCCCGTACTTGCAAATAAATTGCAAAAGGTTGAAATCAAGAATCCAAAAGCTAGATGAGCGAAGTGATGTCACTAAACCGCTTCTTCGCCTTATCGACCTGATCGAAAATGTATACGATTTTCAACGTCTTAGTGATTGTACACATCTCACTGCTAGCATAGCTATTATCCTTTTATTGTTATAGAAATAACGATTAGAAGCAAAGATACATTGCGTATCCATGCATAAATGCGCGAATATACAAGGAAGCGGGTTTCGATATTTCATTGTACAAATTTTATTCTCCAAAATGCTTTTGATTTTGGTTAGCAAATCTGTGCCACTCATGTCAACAACGAAGGAAGGTATAACTGGGATCTATGCGTGATACATTCAGAGATCACATATAATTTTCCCAGTGACGCCTGCAAGGTGAACATAACCTCAATGTTATACCAAAAAAAAAAAAGAACGGTTTTTCAGGTGGAATTTCAGAATTTGAAACTTTTCCGATTTTCCCCACAATTTTATGCATAACATATATTTGATGAAAATTTTAGAATTTTAGTTAGCATTAGAGAAGAGCTTAGAAAATCGAATTTTATCGCTATGAAATCCTATTTAAGGCATAGTCAAAAGCAACTCTACTTTTAGAATCATGTATGGAGGTAAAGAATTCCTTCTATTAACGTTAGTTATGGATTCGTGCGAATCAGAGAGATCCCAAATTTCCACTCCTATCAGATCATTAAATAACTGAATAGCTGAAATTTTAAACACTTTCGTGCCTTCGTTTTCTATAAGTTAACTCTTGCAAGTTTGTTTTTCCAGGACAAGAGCAAAAACAAAAAGGAGACTATCGTTGTCGGTTGTTGTCAATCAGCAAGTGCGAGATATTTTACCCTGATTGGCCGCTAGTTTCAGAGGAACTGCCACGCATTTCGCTTTTAATAGGCAGAAAGAGAGAACGATAGAACGATGGCGCGAGAGAAATAGAAAGAGAAAGAGAGATAGAGAGAGAGAGAAAGGAAAGGAATAAAAAACTCTTAATGACCTCTAAATGGCGATGATGTTATGCAACCATTTAAGATAGTTTTAGAGCAGCGCGTTTAGAACAATACCATGTTCGCATAAAAGAAAGGCAAAAGCAAAATGAATTAGTTTGCAAAACTCATTGATTTGAGTTGAAATATTGTGGCCAATGATACCGATAAGAAAATTCTTAAATCAATTGTTTACTTTAAAATAAAATTTCTGTAATAACCCCATATAGAAAACAGTTATATATTAATGCGAACTTTTCCTGGCATTTACTCTCTTTAGACCATGAACAAATAATCTCTACACCAACATTTACATGCATCTTCAATAAGTGTTTGAAAACTTCATAGGCCGATGATCGATTGCAATTAATGTGAGTTATATATCCATCCTTTTGAATGGAGATGGCATTAAGAAAGGGACTGAGCAGAGTGCAATTTCACATCTTTAAGAAATCAAGCATAATCTTCATAATATATCTTAGATTTATGTACATAGTTACCGGATATCTATGATACCATTATCTAAGCACTACTTTATACATAGTATTAAAGTCACCATCATTGTAATGAATAAAGAATCGTGTGCTTATGGTCAGAAACTGTTTCAACTCATTGGCTTTCACATTTATTTAAATAAAGTCATAAAAAATCATTAGTGATAAAAATATTTCAAAACATTTACCATCGTTTGTATAAAGGTATTCATCCATCCATGCATATATAGGTATATATATATGCATGTATTATGTGTATACACACGCACACATACCTAACGTTAACTTAGCTTATATATATATGTGTCGATCATGATCTCACTCTTCACACCTTGATGTATGCCAGCAGCGGGCTTTAAAAAGATAAGAAAAACGGTGACCAACAACGCACGAATTAATTTCAATGCAAAATGGTCAAGGTCAATCATGCACGAATGACAACAATTGGCAGCAAAAAAAAAACCTAATTTTTCACAAAAAAGGAAAACAAAACTGATTTCGCTATAAAAGGAAAATGAACGAATAAAAAAAAAAAAAAAAAAAATTAGCTCTGGTTACATGGCGCTAACTATAGGGCGAAGAGGGCAGAAAAGTCGTTACGAAGAAAAATTGTAGAAAATGCTTAAAGGCTACAACAGCTGTAAAATGGGGCTGCAATTATGACGCATACATACATATCCTGGGACAAGTGTACACAAATAGGAAAATAATTTATAAAGGAAAGATAAAAAAAGAAAGAAAAAAACAAAACTCGCGTAGAAAACCTAGTTTTAGTAACAAACTCATACTGTTTAACCAACCACTAACCTGTTCCACATTTTTGTTAGTCGGCCATACGTTGTTGTTCTTTCTAAAATTGTGCTCATGATGCTGCTGCTGATGGCTATGAGTAGTGTGATTATTATTATTATTATTATTGTTGTCGGCCACCGGTGATCCAGCTGCTGCTTGTGATTTAGCTGAGTAATAGAACGTTGTTTGCGTTTGTGATGCTTGTTGGCCATTCAGCTTTTGATTAAAATGCTGTTCTGGATATTGTTGTAGCTGTTGTTCTTGTTGTTGTTGTTGTTGTTGTTGTTGTTTCTGATGCTGAGGCTGATGCTGCTGTTGCAGTTGCAATTGCTTAGCACATTTGGTAGTGACCGATAAACCGGGTTTGTAAGTTGATGGTTGTCTAAATTGTGTCAACGCCGTTTCTAATTTTTCTTGTGCCGTGGAAGGCTCAACGTGCTTTTTATCAACGCTCTCAATTGATTTTATGCTGCTGTTGTTATTGTATGCGCTTAAGGGACGTCTAGCTGGCAAGGCTGGAGGTACGTTACTATAATGTTGATGATCATTATCATTTTCCATACTTTCAGGCATTATTGAAATGCTGTCAGTCTTTGCGGTCACATATCCGGTTTGGCTCAGACGTCTTTGCGGCAAGGGTGGAGCAGCTGCCTCATTATTTATGTTTTTCCCATCGTTACTGTTACTATTATTATTATTGCCATGGCTACTGTTATTATTATTGTTTCTCTTTATCTTACTATCATCGTTATTATTATTATTGGTATTATTATTACATTGTCTTATATCATAATCCAAAGATTTGCTTCGATTGCATTCGATATTCAAAGACAACGAACGTGCAAAGGAACTTTTGAAGACCCGGCACGGCAAATTGAAATCAAAATCCGGCGGAGAAGCATTTTCCGTTGTCATAGTTTCTAAACCGTTTTGTTTTCTATTCGTTTTAAGTTCTTGATAGCCTGGCATTGTAGTATTTTTGAAGAAATTTTTCCAAAAAATTATTTAAAAAGCATAGACTGCTTTACTGAGACTTAGTTTCACTCAAACCAAAACGTGAAAAAAAAACAAAAATGCTTCCTCTTTATTTTCCTTCTTTTTTTTTTTTTAAAGTAAATTTTTTTCTTTGATTTTCAATTCATTTCATATTTTCCAAAATCTTGTTTTTTTTTATATCTTTATTTTTTTTTTTTTTTATTATTATTTTATTAACAACAACATTAATGACACGCACGCACGTCTTAATCATGAGGCCGTTTGATATAAACTAAAATAGTTTTAAACCAACAGTGTGTTCTTTTCCTAAATTAACGCTACTAACTAACAACAAATAATATAACGCGAACAATAACAAACGGTTTATGAGATTGTTTGCAGTTTTCTTTTATGTTTTGCTCTTATAAATAAAATAAACCTAAACAAATGTTACTATAGCGTTAATAGTTGAATGCTAAATTATTTTCTTATTCGTTGCTTGATCTATAACAGGTTTTTCTTTCTCTTCATCATCGTACGTATTCACTCTATCTCTCTTTTCCCTCTTTCTTTACCTTTCTCCTTCTCTCACCGTCGCATTAGTAATGTAAGCGGTGTTAAAATCGTTCATATATATTGAGCGGTGTGCTGATCACAATCCTGATTAGCCAACATAAGGTGTTTCTCTCATTCTCTCTGTCTCTTATTTTTTCTGCTAACTCCGTGTTAGTTAAATAACAGTTGATTTAATGTTATCAAAAGCTTACAGCTATGTACGCCGCACAGTTTTTCTTTTTCATCTTAATAGACGAATTTCATTTTATTTTGTATTATTGTAATAAATGGCTGAGCTATTTTTGTAAAGCAAAATTTAAAATTCTTTATTATTTACAATATATGTATACCGATTATCGTTTCAAAATATCTTTTAAATGCGGCAAATCAAATTTGGAAACACATAGTCGGACAGGGCCGTCTATTACAGATATTTACTTAATTTGATTATCATATACCAAAAATGATAACATTTTTTTTAAGTAAAGGCATACTTTTTACGAAGGCCCTCATATGGAAAGAAGCCCAAAACATCACATGGCGTGATCTAAATTTAGCAAACTTTATTTATTTACCAAAAATTTTATTATTCTTCAGTTCGCGTCATAGAAATACAAGAAAATTGACTTTCTCTCTATAGAAGGACCGACTGGCTTATCATGATAACCCCTAACAAATAACTGACTTGCATATAGCTCACTGTACGTACCCCGTATTTATGACTTTGCTAAAAGCTAAGCTAACTTCACATGCGGTTCGCGCCCATGCTAAGGTAAATGATAATTGAACGATATTAAGAGAATAAAAGAAATGATGGAAAAAACAATTAAACAAATGCGAAAAATAGAAGCAATTAAAGAAAAATGTGCAGTAAAAGCTTTTTATTCGCGCTTTCTTCATTCGAGTTTTCACTATTCGCGGATTAAAAAAAAAAAAATTTTTTTTTAAATTTCTATATTCGCGGCTATAAATTTCTTTATTCGCGGATCCAATAAGTGCATACAGGATAGTAAAAGGATTCCAATAGGTATTCAATTACCATTCCATATTCACGGTTTCTGTATTCGCGGCGCAAATACCCCGCGAATAAAGAACTTTTACTGTACTATCGTTATATATATTTATCAAATAATGCACGCATACAATTGACGAAAATAAGTACAAAATGTGTTATAAAAAGTTTTAACGAATTTAAGAAACTGAAGTTAGTGCCTTATGTACGTACATGAAAGATAAAGTAGTAGGATATAGTAATGACATTAAGTTTTTCTGATAGGTTTCAGTATTTACCATGCATGACAATTAGTAGGTATAACTTATCTCTACTTTTCTTTTTTCTTCATTTTGTGATCGTAATTAAAAGCTCAGTTTGTTTTATTCGTTTACTTTCTAATATTTTTTAATGTTAACACTTAGTTCTTGATAAGTAAGTTGTAACTTAGTAAAGACACGACCCTTAAGTATGTGAGCTATTTTGGTGGACTATCTTCATTTTGGTAAAAAAAATAGACCAATTTTTTCGCTAAATTGCTACTATAAACCAATTTTCCAAGATTTTATAAGAAATCGCACATGCACTGGGGTCCAAGAAATAGATACATGCGGCTCAAATTCGTTCCACTTAATTTTTATGTTAAATTACTATAATGAACAAATTCTCATTATAAAGCATTAGCAGTTACACCTTTTTGACATACAAGAGTTTACGTTTCGTAACAATCCTTATATGCGCTGATATCGAAAAAAACAGATCTACTTAATCCAAATTGGACAACATTGATTTTCTTTTCAATTTACTACTATAAACGAATTTACAGCGTGACATATTAAATGTTTTTAGCATATAAAGATTTTGCTTTCATAGAAACGGTTATATAAGAGAGATTTGAAAAAAATGCTTTCGTTGTTCTTTGTTCAAAGCAAAATACCTCAAAAATCGCGACCTGTAAGCTGAACACAAAAATATATATACGCAGAGACAGACTAGCGTACATACAAACAGACAATGCTTTAATGGATTCCGAAAATGAAAATGATTCTGAATCAAGCAGCATAATTAAAAGTGGTTCTGTCTTAAGGTGTTTCACCTTATGTTGTACTATGGGCGTGCCCTTTAATTGATTTCGCCAATTTTCGATATACATTTGCACGCAAGAGCTTCAAATGTTTTTGCCCAATTTGAAGTCGGGAGCGACCAGAAGAATACTTACCGCATACACTATACAGACAGACAAACAGGGAAGTGGATGTACTTATATTGATTCATAATTTGATACTGATCAAGAATATATATATATATATACTCTATGAGGTCTTCTTGAAAGTCTTCTTTTGACTGTTACAAAAGTTGCGACAAAATGAATATACGTATGTATAATGAAAATGTTCTTAAAAAATGCTAAAAGTAAATATTATTCAAATTATCACAAATGCTGTTTTTTTACTTTTATCTTTGCTTTTTTTTTGATTGATTGTTTACACAGAATTTTTGCAGCATTTGTCTACAGTTTGAGTTTTTGCTGCTTTGCAGTTGTTTTTGTTCCTTAGTACAAATTATATTAACTTGGATCAGTGCTTTGTAATCATGATATTAAAAATAGTCGGCGTAAATTTAGTCTTTTTATGCCGAACGGGTTTCTATAACCGCATATAAATAAATAAATATTGGAATTAAAAAGTGTTAGAAAGCGAGCACATATAAAACAAGCTAAGCCTTTCATCACGATCACAAAACCAAAAAGAAAAACCAATTTATTATATAGTGTTATAGCAATTCTCGGAGGCATTACGCAACTGCGGATGATACCACTTGAAAAATACTGAAATCTATTAGAAAAATCTAATTTCACTACTACATCCATGTTTCATTATCGCTAAAATCACTCCAAATATGCTCTCCCCGTATGAGACACTTAATTAGCTATAAACAAGCGGAAAAAAGGCGGTCTTGGCTGACTATAAATATCCTACACCCCATTGTCTAACCTAATTCTCACTTTTGCCATAGAACACAAAATTATACCCTGGTTTAATATGAACTTACTATTATGGAACTGTATATTAAAAATTGGGCCTCTTTGGAAATAAGGGCTTACCTTCCGTAAGAATGACTGTTCCCAAGATGTTAAAAACTTTGTACGGGTTTAAAACTTTGCACAGTTGATTTTTATATTAAATTACTGTTACGGGTCAATTTTCATAATCACGTATTAAAATTTAAACCTTTCTGACCTTTCAAAGACCCAATTTTCATAAATATCTATATATAGAGTAGGATCTCAAAAATAGGCCGAGATGATCCAAATTTAGTGCAGTTAATCTTTGTATCTTAAATTATTATTATGATCCGATTTTGAACATGAAGCATTGAAAGTTAGATCTTGGTGTCATATGCACTTCAGTTTTCGCTACATAAGAGGAAGTTCAAAAACTGCCACTGCCGATTCAAAGTTATCTCATCAATTTAGCCACTTTTGCCGAGAAAGTTAACAAATTGCGTTTTTTTCCATATAACGGATTTTCAGAATAGGGTGTTATGCAGGGAGCGGTCGAAAACGTCGACCTATCCAAACGATTTTCAGTAGTGTTCATCCTTAGGTCAAAACACGTCAGTGTGCGCAATTTCATCGAAATATCTGGAAAATTTCGACATGCAGCTTGAACACACAAAATACATGGACAGACAGATGCGGAGACAGACTTAGATCGATTTAGAATATGATTCTGATTCGATCGGTACAATAAAAGGTGGGTCTAGCTTAAGCCCTCCTGGGTGTCACATCTTCACTAACTTAACATATCCTATAATATAAGTGGTATAAGTGAATTTTTTTTCTGAAACATTCTTGTGTTGATTTGCACAGAAATCAATGTTCTCAAAAAATCCTACGTTCTTCCCCAGCTCTCTTCTTTTTTCGAAATTGAAATTTGCATCCACCTTGTATACTTTTCTAATATGCTTTCCTATGCCGAAGAATATAGAATAGACGAGCCCTACTGTTTTTAATAATTTTTACTTGCTTTTTTAATTTCATTAAAAAGGTATTATAGCATATACCAGGCTTGTGTGCTGAAGACAACATGAAGAATTTCTTTGCCATCTTATTTGTTTTGTTATCAAAAGAGCTTTTTGTTGTTGTTATTTTGCCAGTTTCTTGAGATGCAAATAATTTGGTGTAAAGTGAGTTTGACGATATATGACTATAGCTAAGTGAAACAAGCAGATGTTACCAGTACGCAACTTTTTGAACCATTGTCGCAACTGTCGTCTGCATAGCTTACACATGTTCTCATAAGATTTGTTTAACTTGAAATGAATTATTCTATAATGTTATTAAATGGAGTAATTACTTATTAACAACTTCTAGTTACTGTCATACCTGTTGTCCTTAGGCTGAGTTCTTCTTCTTCTTCTTCTTTCGTAAGACGTGTGCAGGTATTAAAGCTGAATGGTGTATATTAGGTTTAGTGTAAATATAGTAAATACACTCACACGTTTACGTTTGTTCCCAAACAGCTAAGAGGAGTTAGGAGTGTCTCTTTACCTTCCCCCGAATTTGCCATTCCTCGCCATAGATATACCTGGTGATGGTTTG